AAAAAAAAAAAAAAAAATATATATATATATATATATATCATCAAGTCAATGAAACTCCTGGGATATTGATCTGGTCAGTTAAGTAGCAGAGGGGGTTGTTAATCAGTTTCAGCTGCTTTGATGTTAATGAAATTAACAACAGGTGCACTGGATGGGCAACAATAAGACGAACCCCAAAACAGGAATGGTTTTACAGGTGGAGGTCACTGACATTTTATCCCTACTCATCTTTTCTGACTGTTTTTCACTAGTTTTGCATTTGGCTAGGGTCAGTGTCACTACTAGTAGCATGAGGCGATACCTGGACCCTACAGAGGTTGCACAGGAAGTCTATCTCCTCCAGGATGGCACATCAATACGTGTCATTGCCAGAAGGTTTGCTGTGTCTCCCAGCACAGTCTCAAGAGCATGGAGGAGATTCCAGGAGACAGGCAGTTACTCTAGGAGAGCTAGACAGGGCCGTAGAAGGTCCTTAACCCATCAGCGGGACCGGTATCTGCTCCTTTGTGCAAGGAGGAACAGGATGAGCACTGCCAGAGCCCTACAAAATGACCTCCAGCAGGTCACTGGTGTGAATGTCTCTGACCAAACAATCAGAAACAGACTTCATGCGGGTGACCTGAGGGCCCGACGTCCTCTAGTGGCCCTGTGCTCACTGCCCGCCACCATAGAGCTCGATTGGCATTTGCCATTGAACACCAGAATTGGCAGGTCCACCACTGGCGCCCTGTGTTTTTCACAGATGAGAGCAGGTTCACCCTGAGCACATGTGACAGACATGAAAGGGTCTGGAGAAGCCGTGGAGAATGTTCCGCTGCCTGTAACATCATTCAGCATGACCGTTTTGATGGTGGGTCAGTGATGGTCTGGGGAGGCATATCCATGGAGGGACGCACAGACCTCTATAGACTAGACAATGGCACCCTGACTGCCATTAGGTATCGGGATGAAATCCTTGGACCCATTGTCAGACCCTACGCTGGTGCAGTGGGTCCTGGGTTCCTCCTGGTGCATGACAATGCCCGGCCTCATGTGGGGAGAGTATGCATGCCCATTGAATGGTCATGCTGATTACAAATAAAACGTATTCATTTAACCACTTATCCACCACCCTATAGCAGATATAATGCTACACGGCGGCAGCTCTGTGCAAAACCACACCCTAACCACCATTGGTTGCAGCAAATGTCAATCACTGGGTCCCATTCGGTGATCGCAGCTAAAGCTGAGAGGGGAGAGATCTGTATGTAAACAACACAGATCTCTCTCCTGCCAGCAAGGACATGCTGCTTTCTCTCTCTCTCTCTCTCTCTCTCTCTCTCTCTCTTTCTGCACAGCATGTCTCCCTAGTAAAACAGCACACAGTTAACCCTTTGATCTCCCCAGATGTTAACCCCTTCCTGCCCAGTGTCATTAGTACAGTGCCAGTGATTTTTATTACCACTGATCCCTGCATTAGTGTCACTGGGGATGTCAGTGGCTGTTAGTCAGTTCCCACCCAGTGTCAGAATGCCCGCCGCAGTCCCACTATAAGTCGCTAATTGCAGCCATTACTAGTATAAATAAATAAATATTCCAGTATATATACCGCCATTTGTAGACACTATAACTTTCACATCAACCAATTAATTTACATGTATTGGGATCATTTTTCTAGCAAAGACATGGCGCAGAATACATTTTGGCCTAAATTTCTGAAGACATTTTACTTTTTAAAATTTCTTATTAGATATGTTTTATAGCAAAAAGTAAAAAAAAAGTTTTGATGGTCTTTTTTTGTTTACAGCGCAAAAAATAAGAAATGCAGACGTGATCAAATACCACCGAAAGAAAGCTCTATTTGTGGGAAAAAATGACATAAATTTCATTGATGTACAGCGTTGCGTGACCGCGCAATTGTCAGTTAAAGTAGCGCAGCGCTGTATCGCAAAAACTGGCCTGATCAGGAAGGGGGGTCAATTGTCTGGAGGGCAAGGGGTTAAATGTAATTAATTCATTTATTTATACTACAGATGCGTTCATTGATAAAATTGCGAAAATGTGTAATATATATGATGTGTGGGCAGCACAGTAGCTAAGTGGTTAGCACTTCTGCCTGGCAGTACTAGGGTCGCCAGTTCCAATCCCAACCACGGCACCACCTGCCTGGAGTTTTTCATGTTCTCCCTGTGCCTGTGTGGGCAGGGGCGGACTGACAACTCATGGGGCCCCCGGGCAATAGGGGATCTGGGGGCCCCTGTGTCCTTGCCCACACTCAAAGCACACCCAAAAAAAGCCTATAAAAGGTACCAGGGGCATTTCATGGGGCCCCCTACTGACCCTGGGCCCTTGGGCAGTGCTCGAATGGTCAGTCCGCCCCTGTGCGTGGGTTTCTTCCAGGTACTCCGGTTTCCTCCTACACTCCAAAGACATGCTGGTAGGTTAATTGACTCCTGTCTAAATTGGCCCTAGTATGTGTATTGTGGGAACTCGCTTCAAAGTGGTAGAGCTTTTCATTTAAAGTACACAGCGACTCGCTTCTTTAAGGCCTTTTTGCCCAATTTTATTTAAACAAATGTCCCATAACATAAAGCTTCCCACGCAGGGGAATCCGCCATCAAACAAAACAATGATTCAGCCTCCTGGCTTATACTCAGCTTGATGTCGGTCTCCTGCAGACTTCTTCAAGAATTATGGCTCTTGCTCACAGCTGGCCACTAGCACACAACTAGTCTCTAGCAGCCCCTTGCTGCTTTTGGCTTCCACCTCTCCTAGGTGGAGCCCTCCTGACTCCTCTCTGCCGGGGTGGAGCCCTCCTGACTCCTCTCTGCCGGGGTGGAGCCCTCCTGACTCCTCTCTGCCAAGGTGGAGCCCTCCTGACTCCTATCTGCCGGGGTGGAGCCCTCCTGACTCCTCTCTGTCGGGGTGGAGCCCTCTTGACTCCTATACGCCGGGGTGGAGCCCTCTCTCTGCTGGGGTGGAGCCCTCCTGACTCCTGTCTGCCGGGGTGGAGCCCTCCTGACTCCTCTCTGCTGGGGTGGAGCCCTCCTGACTCCTGTCTGCCGGGGTGGAGCCCACCTGACTCCTCTCTGCCGAGGTGGAGTCCTCCTGACTCCTCTCTGCTGGGGTGGAGCCCTCCTGACTCCTCTCTGCCGGGGTGGAGCCCTCCTGACTCCTATACACCAGGGTGGAGCCCTCCTGACTCCTCTCTGTGGGTGGAGCCCTCCTGACCCCTGTCTGCCGGGGTGGAGCCCAGAACCCTGGTCCTGACTATATCTAAAGGCCTGCACACACCTGTGCAATCAGTCTCCTGGCCTATTCCAACACCTGGTCCCAGGATTGGAGATTTCATCCCTCCCAGATCTCTTTGAAATCTCCAGGCTCCAGATCCCAAAACAGACCTTACAAACAAAGAAGGAAAGTGAAAAGCCACTTTCCTCCGTATCAAACACTTACCCTGGAGCCCCTCAACCTGCCTTGTTGAGAATCCTGGGTGACAGATTGCCACACTGTCACAGTATGTATGAATGTAAGTTAGGGACCTTAGATTGTACGCCCCTTGAGGGTTAGGGACTGATGTGAATGTACAATATATATGTAAAGTGCTGCGTAAATTGACGGCGCTATATAAGTACCTGAAATAAATAAATAAATGTGGCCCTCTTATTGAAAGGTTTGGAGACCTGTGTTGTATACACAGCAAGCGGCAAGCCAGGGAATTTATTTGGAGAGTTGTACCAAGCTCCAACTACCAGCAAGTAACGGGTGAGATCTCCACCAACTAGTCTGCTTTACTGGGTGACCTGACACAGGCGCGTTCCCATAGAAGTCGCCAGTCACATTTACATCACATAGACAGGCGAAACAATTGTACAGATGAGCCGCGGCAGATGGTGAACGAACGGACTTGACGCCAAGCCATGTGACACGCACCGAGTGACACCGATGGCAGGCGTAAAACAAGAGCCCAGCCGCCTACACCTGAGCAATCCTGTTCTCCCTGCCTGGGGCACTGCCTGTGAATGGTCACTACAGAATGACATTTGTTATCGCATTCAGAAAGCACAATGGTTGCCTCTTACTGGAAGGACCGTTTGTTCTGTATCACAAATTATTATTATTATTATACAGTATTTATAAAGCGCCAATAGTTCGCTCAGCGCTGTACATTACAAAGGAGGACAGAACATGTGACAGAACAATAACAATACAATGCAAAACATGAGGGGATTGAGGGCCCTGCTCTTTCCAGCTTACAATCTAGGAGGTTATCCTAGGGAAGGTTCATTACATATGCCAAGAAGCAGGCTGAGCTCAAGAGCTGGCACTCCTGCACCTTTCAGGTTCATGTTAGCGCCTAACTCTAGGATTTTGAAATGTTGTAAAAATAATTTAATTTAAAAAAATGCAGCAGCTTTCATTATAAAACTCACTTTCTCTCTGTAAACTCAATGCTTTGTGGTCAGCCCCAGCTGGTTGTGGTGTCAGTGGAAGGATTAGTTCCCCATCGTTGGTGTCAGTGGGAGGAATAGTGCCCCATCATTGGTGTCAGTGGGAGGAATAGTGCCCCATCATTGGTGTCAGTGGGAGGAATAGTGCCCCATCATTGGTGTCAGTGGGAGGAATAGTGCCCCCATCGTTGGTAGTCATTGGTGTGGGAGGAATAGTGCCCCATCATTAGTGTCAGTGAGAGGAATAGTGCCCCATCATTGGTGTCAGTGGAAGGAACAGTGCCCCATTATTAGTGTTGTAGGAGGAATAGTGCCCCATCGTTGGTGTCAGTGGGAGGAATAGCGCCCCATTATTGTGTGTTGGTGAAAGGAACAGTGCCCCATCATTGGTGTCAAAGGGAGGAATAGTGCCCCATCATTAGTGTCAGTGGGAGGAATAGTGCCCCGTCGTTGGTTGGTGTCAGTGGGAGGAATAGTGCCCCATTATTGGTGTCAGTCGAAGGAACAGTGCCCCATCATTGGTGTCAGTGGGAGTTCTAAATTTATTGAATTTATTAAAGTGTTACTAAACCACGAACCCTGCATCCACTATATCTGGTCTCCCAGGACCCTGCATCCACTATATCTGGTCTCCCCGGACCCTGCATTCACTATATCTGGTCTCCCCGGACCCTGCATTCACTGTATCTGGTCTCCCCAGACCCTGCATTCACTATATCCGGTCTCCCCGGACCCTGCATTCACTATATCCGGTCTCCCTGGGACCCTGCATTCACTATATCCGGTCTCCCCAGACCCTGCATTCACTATATCTGGTCTCCCGGACCCTGCATTCACTATATCCGGTCTCCCCGGACCCTGCATTCACTATATCCGGCATTCACTATATCCGGTCTCCCCGGACCCTGCATTCACTATATCCGGTCTCCCCGGACCCTGCATTCACTATATCTGGTCTCCCCGGACCCTGCATTCACTATATCTGGTCTCCCCGGACCCTGCATTCACTATATCTGGTCTCCCCGGACCCTGCATTCACTATATCTGGTCTCCCCGGACCCTGCACTCACTATATCTGGTCTCCCACAGTACACACAGCATGGAAATGCAATTATTTTAGTAAATATAAACTGCTAAATACCTTTTCTCAGCAGCAGTTAAAACAGTCTTTTGACTTCTATCAGTGTCCAGCAGAGCACTGGTTAAAGCTTGTAGGAGGAGTTTTCTTTTGCTCTAGGAGGATGCAAAACCCCTGACCTCTCTCTGGACAGTGCTGATTGGCCCTGTGCTGACCATATGCACTCTCCAAAGAAATAAAAAAAAAAATCTTTCTAGCAATACACACCAAACTGAGCAAGTGCAAAATTCCTACAGTTCAATCTGTCTTATCAGGTGGTCGCATGAAAAAGGGGAGGATCAGAGAAGACAGGATCAAACAGCCTTTTTACACAATGTGTAGGATTAACCCCATAGGTTCCACAGTGAGTATAACAAGCATGCTTTACTGCATATACAGACTGATTTTACTGTTGTGGGTTTAGGAACACTTTAAAAACAAAAAGAATGAAACGGATAAATCCAACCAGAAGCATGGCTAGACAACAAAAGCTTGACGCGCGCGCACAAACATTTTTATTGACAGACAGGAAAGAATGGCAGTTGGCATGGGGCCGAGGCTGTTCTAGGGGCTCCTAGGTATTCTTTGGCTTTGACGGTGTACGGAGGAAGAGCAGCCAACAAGCGTGTCAAGTGCCCAGTGTGGAAAGAACAGCAAGCTGGGGGTAATGAGCCAGACTTGTTCAGGTGCGGGTCTCCTCCCTGCCGAGGGTCGGGGCAGAGAACCAGGCTCCTCCGTACATGGAAAGCATGTCTTAATCATGCTGCAGAATAAACACTCAATTCCCTACATAATAGGCTTGTGAACGGTCATTATTCAGCACAATGCTGCAGAAAATGCTGGCAAAAGCAGAGCGGAATAGAAGAAATCTCCCGACTCGTTTGCGTCATAAACAGCCAAGAAATACGCATTTGCGCTTCCTAAATAAAGGAGACCTGTCGCAGCGGGAACGCGGCGTGTGCCGGAAGTATTGTAATTGGACCCATCTTGTCTGCAGTCACACCGGGGGCAACTTGGCATGCGATTTGTGTGCCATACCATGTGCAAATCGCATTGGCAAGTCGCTCCCTATTGACCGCAATTACAGCGGTCATATCGGTGTGGTTCCGACTTGGTCGGAGGTGCATCGATTTCTAACCACTTGTCCTCCAGAGGATTTACCAAATGTGCTTTCTATAGATCACATTATATGTAAGGAATATTATCTGCTCCTCTTGTGCTGAATTTATTTCTCTTAACCCCTCGCCCTCCTGAGGATACCCCCCCCCCCCCCCCACCCCTTCCTGACCATTTTTTGCAATACGGAGCTGCTTTACTTTAACTGACAATTGCGCGGTCATGCAATGCTGTACCCAAATGAAATGTACCTCCTTTTTTTCCCCATGAATTGAGATTTCTTGATGGTATTTGATCACCTGTGTTTTTTTTTTTTTTTTTGCGCTATAAAATATTTTGAGGAAAAAAAACAATATTTTTGACTTTTTGCTATTAAACATATCCAGTAAAAAATTTTTAAAAATCAAATTTCTTCATAAATTTAGGCCAAAATACATTCTGCTCCATCTCTTTGCTAAAAACAAATTCCCAATACGTGTAAATTAATTGGTTTATGTGAAAGTTATAGCGTCTACAAATGGCGGTATATATACTGGGATTTTTTTTTTTTTTATAGTAATGGCGGCAATCAGCGACTTATAGCGGGACTGCAGCGGGCATTCTGACACTGAGGGGAACTGACTAACTGCCAATGACATCCCCAGTGACACCAATACACTGATCAGTGCTAATAAAAAGCACCCACACTGTACTAATGGCACTGGAAGGGGTTAACATCTGGGGCAATCAAAGGGTTAACTGTGTGCTGTGTGTATGCTTTACTGTAAGCACACTGTTTTGTATGGCTCTGCTATGCAGAGCCATGCAAAGCAGTGTGCCGAAGCTGACATGAGAGAACTGTTTTGTTTACTAACAGTTCCCCCCCCCTCGGAGATGCTCGGCAATCACCGGGCGCTGGCAAGTAATCAGCGGCCAGGGCCGGTGATTGATAGCCACAGCTGCGCGCCCCATACCCGGAAATGCAAAATCACATATATAGCTGTAGCGGATGGGAAGTGGCCAAAGTAGTGCATGGTGCGATTTGCATAGACATCTGTGTCAGATGCAGGGCTGCTGTTAGAAACAACGGGGCCCCATACAGTCAATCTGATAGGGCCCCCCTCCCGAAAAAAAAAATCAGTTTACTATGCTTCAATTAGGAATGAACACAGTGAGTGAACGGTACCGATCACTCATTGTGTTCATTCAGGAAAAGGAGGGGCTGGTAAATGTGACATATTTAGAGGACCTTTCATCCTGAAGGATCCTATTGTGCGTTTGTAGCTGCGGGTGGGAAGCCAGAAGCACTGCGGCGGTGGGGGGTCTGGGCAGCAGGGGGTACCATACGGTTCACAGGGAGGGTGATGGGTGCAGTGGGGGGGGGGCAATTACTGGAACTGATCCCCTGTATGGCTCTCTCTGCAGCAGCTGAAAGCTGTCCAGGGAGAGGTGAAGAAGCCAGCTTTCAGTTCCTGCAGGGAGAGCCATACAGGGGATTGGTTCCAGTAATTGCCCCCTTGCAGTGCTGATCACCCTCCCTGCCCACATCTGATTCATCCTGCTGACTGGGCCCCCCCTGACGACCTGGGCACCGTACAGGAAGACTGCTGGTACCCTCTTTATCCATGGCTCTGGTCAGATGTCTTGCAAATAGCACCTCAAATTGGCATGTCATTCGACTTTGAAATCGTGCGTCTTTACTGTAAGTCGCACAATTTCAAAGTTGGGATCCGTGTGACCGGGGTGTTAAAGCGGTATTAAAACCTGAAAGCAAACATTTGCTGTACCGCAGCTTACCAGCTGGCTGCATTTGTTTTTCTTTTTATGCTTTCTCTCTTCTGGTAATCCAGCCAGCAAGTCTGTTGTTTTTCAAAAGAACAAGCTATCCAGCAGTATGTATCAGTTACAGAGATGAGACAAACCATTTACCACTGACAGGGGTGCTTACAATGATCAGTGTTTGTTTGTTTATTTATGAAAAATCTTTATCCCAAAAGGAATAAAAAATGTTTGCTGTAACTGATTTTAAAGTGTTAGCTGGAGTTTGGCTTGAATATTTGTATGTAAAAATCTGCTAGACCAGTGGTCTCCAAACTGCGGCACGGGGGGTCAGATGTGGCCCTTTGCTTGCTTTAATCCGACCATTGGGAAACTATTTTCTTCCACTGATACCAACAATGGGAAATAATCCCCCCCCACTTAAACCAATGAAGGGGCACAATTGTTCCCAATGACACCAATGATGGGGCACAATTCATCCCAATGACACCAACAATGGGGCCCAATGACACCAATGATGGCGGGCACAATTCATCCCAATGACACCAACAATGGGGCCCAATGACACCAATGATGGAGGGCACAATGACACCAACAATGGGGCACAATTCATCCCAATGACACCAACAATGGGGCCCAATAACACCAACAATGGAGCCCAATGACACCAAAAATGGGGCACAATTCATCCCAATGACACCAACAATGGGGCACAATGACACCAACAATGGGGCACAATTCATCCCAATGACACCAACAATGGGGCCCAATGACACCAATGATGGGGGACACAATTAATCCCAATGACACCAACAATGGGGCCCAATGACACCAACAATGGGGCCCAATGACACCAACAATGGGGCACAATTCATCCCAATGACACCAACAATGGGGCCCAATTACACCAACAATGGGGCACAATTCATCCCAATGACACCAACAATGGGGCCCAATGACACCAACAATGGAGCCCAATGACACCAAAAATGGGGCGCTATTCCTCTCACTGACACGAATGATGAGCCATTGTTTATTCCCACTGACGTTGGGACCTTTTCTACTCTCAAAGGCCACAGTCTGGCCCCCCCTTAAGTCTGAAGGTCAGTAAACTGGCCCTTTGTTTAAAAAGTTTGGGGACCCCTGTGCATCCAACACTCCCCTCCTCCCACACTGTCAAAGCTGCTGTCTAACGGTGCCCCCTGTGCTTCTTCATCCATAGTGGGGGCGCTCTAATACAGGAGGTGTGCCACTGGCTAGATCACCAGGGAAAAACAGAAGGGAAAAACCTAAAAAAAGAAAACTAATGCAGCCGCCACATCTAAGGATTGGTAAGCTGCAATATATTGGATTTTTGGTTTTGGACTTAATACTGCTGTAAGAAGTTGAAGGGAGCAACTTGGATACATCAATAAGTAAGGCTCCTTGGCCTTTAATGCAACTTGTCTTGCGGCTTTGGACACATAATTGGCCGGCGTGAAGAGGTTGAATAGGAACATGTGCGTTCCAGTGATACGTTTTACCGCGGTCCAGTACAGTTCTGTGCAGGACAAATGCAGCCTTTTCTACAGTTTTTTCTGCACCCGGAACGCAACTATGACATTGACAACCATATCACCTACTTTGTGTGCGTTTCGGATGCAGAAAAAAAGCAACGGAAACGCCTGTAGTGTGAACTGGCCCTAAATCATGAGATCGATGCTGCTGCATTTACCACTTTTATACAGAAGGTGAACCGTCTCTTTAACCACCTCCCTTCCGGTGGTTGTAAATAAACGGTTGGACGGTGGCAGTGCAGGGTCGGGTGGCCGTTTTATAAACGGCCTCCTCGCACCCTGCTTGTGCGCGCTCCCTGGGAGCGTGCAGCACCGCGATCCGGTGCCCACTGTGTCCTCTGGACACAGTGGAAAACCGATCGTCAGACGGGACCTCTGATCACTGATTGGCCAATCAGTGATCACATGCAGAGTAGCAAGCAAGATGTCACTTGTGACATCATTGCTTACTACGTGTGAAATCTGTGAATGATCACAGAGGTCACATGGTACAAGCCTATTCACAACAGCCTTGTACCATGCGACAAGCTGTGACCAATCACAGCTCACTAGTAGTTCTCAATGGCTGCAAGAATGCAGACAGAGAGAAGGAGAAATGATTGCTTTTACAGCCTTTATGGGTGTAAAAGCAATCAGTGAAAAAAAAAAAAAAAATATTCATCACCCCCCACAAGTAGTACAGTGTCACCATGGTGACACTGTACTGCTAGGGTGACAGTATGTAAAAAAATAAATAAATAAAAATTAATATAAAAAAAACAAAATTAAAAAAATGTTTAAAAATGATAATGTTTGGTTATAAACTAATTTGGGTTATTTTTTTTTTTACTGAAAATATAACAGAATAAATGTTGGCCAAGATTTATGATGAAATATTAATTTGCAAAATTTTATAAGAAAAACTTTTTTTTTTTTTAAATTTTTGGACTTTTAATTTACATAGCAAAAAAAAAATAAAAATCCCAGCGGTGAATAAATACCACCAAAATAAAGCTTTATCTGTCTCAAAAAAATGCTAAAAAATTCATATGGGTACAGTGTTGCATGACCGCGCAATTGTCATTCAAAGTGTGATAGTGCTGAAACCTGAAAATTGGCCTGGACAGGAAGGGGGTGAAAGTGTCCGGACTGGAAGGGGGTGAAAGTGTCTGGACTGGAAGGGGGTGAAAGTGTCCGGACTGGAAGGGGGTGAAAGTGTCCGGACTGGAAGGGGGTGAAAGTGTCCGGACTGGAAGGGGGTGAAAGTGTCTGGACTGGAAGGGGGTGAAAGTGTCCGGACTGGAAGGGGGTGAAAGTGTCCGGACTGGAAGGGGGTGAAAGTGTCCGGACTGGAAGGAAAGGTGAAAGTGTCCGGACTGGAAGGGGATGAAAGTGTCCGGACTGGAAGGGGGTGAAAGTGTCCGGACTGGAAGGGGGGGGTGAAAAGTGTCCGGACTGGAAGGGGGGGGGGTGAAAGTGTCCAGACTGGAAGGGGGGAACTGGGGGTGAAAGTGTCCGGACTGGAAGGGGGTGAAAGTGTCCGGACTGGAAGTGGTGAAAGTGTCCAGACTGGAAGGGGGGGAAAGTGTCCAGACTGGAAGGGGGTGGAAACTGGAAGTGGTTAAACAATAAAAAAAAAAAAAAATCTTTCTATTTCATCTCTATGAATTAATGAAGTGCAAGTGCTGATTACACTCGTCTTTGTTGGCGTGCTTGTCTCCTCCACCGTCTTATCTGAGTGTCATTAACCCGCAGTTCACATTACTACAATGTACCAACCTTTCCCTGCACCGCCCTGGGCTCTTTCTTGCAGGGAAAGAAGATTATTGGCTGGCAGGCTCTTCACATCGCAGTATATAATTATTCCAAGATTGCAGCCTGCTTGTTATATTGTATTTTTTTTTTCTGGTCGACATAATCGTTTTAAACAGAGATAAGAGATGATGGTGGGAGCCTCAAAAAGGAGAGGTGAAGGTCAGTATATTGAGAGCCGCAAAGTCTCCGAGATGATGGATTGTAAGGCGCGGTCTTATGAGGTTTCCTTTCTAATTGTACTTTACTATTATTATGTATCTATGATTACTTGGTGTGATTTGTACCATCGATGCAAACAGTGAAGAGCAATGCAGCCTGTAACAGAAGTGTGATTGTCTTCATCCAAAATGATTCCCCAAAGCAGTTCCCTGGAATAGATGATGTCTTAAACTTACCTTTGCAGTGGCTCGTGTCTCCTGTCTTCTCTCTGTCCCCCTTCAGACTTTTCAGCATTTGACAACTGAGGGAACGTTGGATGCTTGGGTTCCTCACCATTTGCTGTAGTTCCTCCTGATGACCCCAAAGTCACTGCTGTATCCTGTTGTGACATGAGGGTCAGAGGCTGAAACCATAGATTATGGCAGGAAACAGACACTTGCTGGAATGTTGGATGCTTCTGTTCCTCACCATAGGCTGTGGTTCCTCCTGATGACCCCAGTCACTGCTGTATCCTGTTGACATTTGACACTTGCGGGAACGTTGGATGCTTGGGTCCCTCACCATGGGCTGTGGTTCCTCCTGATGACCCCAGTCACTATTGTATCCTGTTGTGA